CTTGAAAATTGACAAAGTTACGTTTTTTATTTACTGCTAATATATTGTAACTTTTGAATGATTCTACTACAAACGATGGGAAAGTCGCTACAAACAATTACAAATTACAATTACAAATGATTATAAAAATAACTAGAAACGATTCTAAATCAAGATATATTATTGTTTTTTCTGTAACTCAAAGTCGGATGATAGTCATTTTTTCAACATTTTTTTTTATAAATTTACAAACGAAATTGTACTACTACATACAACTAAAAACAAAATATTAACCTTTTTTTATTGTAAACTTATTTTAGTAAAAGTCGGGTGCCAAGTTCACATAGGTAAATTAGCGCATAAACGAGTACGGATGGTGTGTGTACAGAGGCGTTTATAATTATTTCTCGAGAATGATACTTCGGAAAATAACTATCACAATGATTGAATTCGTCTTAAAATACCCTTTAATTTTGTAAAAAAAATTTTGAAAAATTAAAAAAAAAGTTGGATAATGGAGGTAAACAAAAAAATAAACAATAAAAAAATTATTTTAAATTATAAAGTACTCTTAAAGCCATTCAACTTTTATTAGAAACATTTTTTTCTATCTCTCGTAGCTTTGACGATATTTCCATTGAAATAAAAAAACTGATTTTTTTCTATGGAATGTTTCACCCCCTTAACGTGCGACTCAGCACGTATAAAAAAATTGTAGTATCTTATTTTTTGTCTGTAGTAACATATCCAAAGCTCATTGAAATCGGAGAGGAACACTTCTGTGTGTTCCCATGTAAGACTTAATTTTTGTATACGGCATTTGAAATAAAAGAATTAAAAATAAATACTAGCCATATATACAATTAAGAAACGTTCGCATTTTTCTAAAAATCAAAAAGGTTGACACTATAAAAAACAATCAATATAAAGTCATTCTTTAGTCATTTGAAATCTAAATTTTAATCATGATGTAAAAAATGACGTAAATTCGGTCAATTTGACGATTAATTGATATTATTTGACTTTTCTGTTCTCCTTGGGAATTAATACTATGAATACTCTAATATACAGGGTGGACCATTTTAATCCATCCAATCGAATATCTCGAAAAATAAACACACTAGGAAAAAATGTTTCAGACAAAAGTTGTAGGGCTTCGAGGGGGACATAAGATGATAACATTGATTTGACCCTGAGTGGCGTCGTCATGGTCAGGACAAGGTCACTTTGAATTTTTTAAATGGAACCCCCAATTTTTCATGTTCTTATAGCACGCCTCGAGAACTTTCCAAAACAATAAATAAAATATTTTTTTATGAAATAAATCTTGAGTTATGAAGCTTGAAAGTTGGAGTACTGTCGGCATCAGCATCCAAGGTGTCTAAACACTAGCTAAAACCTTTTGAATGTTGTTCAGAATCATGACATTGATAAAGGCCAACGACCTTGGCTATCTTGGATGATGCTAATGCCGACAGTATTCTCAACTTTCAAGCTTCATAACTCAAGATTTATTTCATAAAAAAATATTTTGTTTATGTGTTTTGGAAAGTTCTCGAGGCGTGCTATAAGAACATGTAATGAAAAATTGGGGGTTCCATTTAAAAAATTCAAAGTGGCCTTGGCCTGACCTTGACGACACCACTCAGGGTCAAACCAATGTTATCATCGTATATCCCCCTCGAAGTCCGAAAACTTTTGTCTGAAACATTTTTTTGTAGCTTGCGTATTTTAGCAGATATTTGGATCCGTCGATTAAAATGACTCACCCCGTATATATATATAATTAAAAATATAAATTTCTAAAAAAGAGATTATAACACAAATGGACAAAATAAT